AAAGAGGTTGTGAGTCTTTAACCTTGAGCCTGAAATGAATGTGAACCAAACTCAAGATACTTGGCTTATATGAAGCCAGGTAAACATTCGAGTATAAGCCCACACACTACCAACCATAAAACATCTGTTGATGCTTAACAGGCCTTCTGTATTTTGCCTAGAATGTTGTACTTAGGAGTGAGATTCTGAACTTCATCTTTTTCTTCTGATGGGAAAAATTTGTAGTGTCTGAAATTCTATTTCTTTTAGTTTTCTTGCCTGATGCAGTATAATAAATCTGACTTTCAGGGTGGGATGGAACTGAAGAGTTTTTTCTGTTACAGCTACAGAGAAGAAAGAAGTGGAAACTTATAGCAATGTCAAAAATGTCCTGAAGTGTTGTCCCCACAGTCTTTTGTTTAAAAGCAATTCATTTTTTTTCTGTTGTCTCCATTACTGTGAGAAAAGGGAGCTGTATCATGCTGTTTGTCTTCCCTTGGCATTGTCAGTATCATAAAGAAATACCATTACATGAACTCTACATAGTTCATAACAAGCCAGCACTTTCTAGGTTCTATCCATCATGGGTATGTCCCTGCTTTTACATGCTGTACAACCATAACAACATTATATGAAGTTCATCTGCTTTATTTTATCTTCAAAAAAGGAATGTGAGCTTTGTTTCGGCAGAACCCCTAAATGTTTTTAAACCAGCTATAATTTCAAATTTTGACCTTAAGCATGTATTAAAAGAATTTGTTGCTGTTGGGCCATGTAATTCTGGGTATTTTTTTTTTTTCAGTTCTTAGCTTAATTATGGTAGTGGTATTATACAGATATTAAAATGCCACCGTTGTAAACAACAAACCCTCTACCATTGCTTCCACTAATAGGATGAAAGAAGGAAGTTTTGTTCCTGTGAGCAATAATTTGGTATGTTGGAGGACAGACTAGAAACAAGATTTTGAATTATACTGTAATTCAGAAATTCTGTCACTGGATGAAGTGTGACACTAAAAAAAAATCAGGATTTACTTCTAGATGCCAAACTAAATATGCAAAATTTAAAGTTGGGGAGAGAGTTTCTCTTTAAGTGAAAAAATTAATGGAAGACGTGTATACATCTCTGTAGAGAATTTTTTTAAAATATGAGGTAGTTTTCTACAGCTCCTTAGTGAAGAAAATTTATTATAATGCTACATTTCTGTATTCTCAGTTTCCTTCATGTACTCTCAGGGATTTGCCCGCGTTTGGCCCTAGAATGACTCTTGCATTCAGAAGATTAACTGCTTTAGGTATCGGGAGATCTGAGCTAGTCCTAAGCTAGTATTTCCAGTAAAAGTCACTATGAATAAGTAGAAGCTATTCTAGTAACAACCAAATGTTCCTGCAAGACTTGAACAGTCCCTGCCAAGACTGTGCCACAGATCTTCCCACAAAGTGATATGACTGCTGGCTGATTTACGTTCTGCAAATATATCTTCTGATCGTTGTATAAAGATGTCTAAGCAGAAGATGTTAGAGTAGTGATTTCTTTCAGTGGCTCATTCCATCAAGCAGTCACTGCAGGGTACCAAATTCAGGTTGTGGCAGGCAGGTTTTCGTAACCAAATCTATAGTTTTCTCTCCTCTGTGTAAGATGTTAGTCACCTAGCTAGACTGAGTAAAAGCTTGGTGTTAAATGCAGATAAGATTCTTTGGAGCCTCACAAACTGAAATCACCTCCTCCCTTGCTAACCTATAGAGGTTTAAGTACAGTTTGTGTGACTTGAAGAAAACTTTAAGTCTTTTGGATTCTGCTGGAACTGTTCAAGCATAACATTAAATTGCAAACCTTTATATTTAAGTAAAAATTTACTTTACCTGTATGAAAAAGGATCCAGCTGACAAATAGAACCTAAATCTCTGTAATGAGAAGTGGCTGTGTTCAAGAGCAGGGAATTAATTTGTCAGTTGGTAAGACAAATCAGACAGCTGCAGCTGAATGAGATGACTTATTTTTATTTAGATAGCAGAAACAATAGGTAGCTTTGCAGAAAATGTCACCATAACAGCATGTTATAGGTTCCTGGTTTAAGATAGGACAGCATAGTAACATGTTTTTAAGATTGGCTTGACAAAATATGTTGTTTTTCATTGCTTAGACTAATTACTTTGCACTTTAAAACACGTGCTAGAAAAGGCATAGATAATGAGGGGAGTAGTGTGTCACCTTTTTTCCCTGAGTTCCAATCCTATCTTTAGTAGTGCAGAAATGAATCTCTTATCCTTGCCTGTCTGTTCACTGCACAGAACCGTCACCTAGCACAGCTCAAAGAGGTTCAGCTCTCATAAAAGCCTGCTTTGTAATTCCAGGTGCTCTGTCAAAGAGGCGTAAGGGACACTGTATGATTGCAGGGTGTAAAATTTATTCTTCTTATCTTTCTCCTGTCTTGCACCTCTGTCAACCTCCTAAAATCTTTTAGTATCCCAAGATCTGGACAAGCTGTTCTGTCCCACTCCAATCCTCTTATTCTGAGTGTCAGCTGCCACATGAGCTCCTTTCTGTCCTGTGCCCTGCTGTTACCAAATGTACATATAAAAGGGAGAGTATTTGGGCTGACCGAAGGCCATGTGTCTGAAGATGGCATGACTGACTTCTGCTGTTAGGGTTTTTGAAAGATGATGAATATCCAAATTTAGAGAACAGAAACAAGGACAAAGGTCAAAGAGATCAAAGTACTAGTCAGGCTCTTTCTCAAACGTGCTGAAATTCTCTATAGCTTGGGCAGCTCCAGCCCCAGGCTCAGCGAGAGTCCACAGCTCCAACACTGTGACCCCATGCCATTGCTAAAATGCAGTCTGCCAATTAAAAGAGGAATTAAAGCGTTACAAATGAGAGGTGTATTAGGCCAACCAGTAACGTGCAGCACATTTACATGTGAAAAGATACACATGCCAGCCACCAAACCATTTCAAATGTATGTGGAGAAGCTTTCACAATGCCTGCTTGCACCTTTTCTGCCTCTGCCTTTGTTTTGGTCTCCCCTCTAAGAAATGCTAAAAATTTGCTCATGGACTACATGGAAGTAGAGGGATAGAACTCATACTTAGTCATAAAACATTTGCCAGCAGATCACATTTTGCCATTCTGTTTTTTCCTCTCTGCCCACCCCCCCCCCCCCTTCCAAAAAGTTATGTTGTTTTCAGCAGTAAACCAGCACAAACCTTCACTTCTTTTCAGAGCTGGTAGGTCATTGGGACAGAGATAGCCCCCCTCCCTCTGCCCACCCGCAGGGGACTTGGTGTCCCCAGTCCGCAGTGCCCCTCCTTCTGTTCCCCTCATTTCCTGCTGGAAAACCAATTTGCCCCATCCCTAACAGTCTCATGGGCTGAGTCTTGGGGTTTCTTTTCACTGACATTCTACTGTCAGGTGGTTCATGAGAGTAGGGTGACCCCGGCATAAGTCAGCAGAGCTAGTGTAAAAGACTGCATATATGGCATCGACTGTGTCGCTTTCAGCATTTAACTTGGCAATTTGACAACCAAGAGAGAGAAAATAAAAAAGCTTGCTGTTTAACAATGTCATTCAATTCAACCCAACAATCAAATACGTTATTTTATTACATGTTTTATATATATTAACAAGTTAAATGGCTAGAACAGTGGGTCTATACTCGAGTGTTTACCTCACATATGCATGAAGGAAAAATCAAAGTTGGTTCAACAATACTATGTTCACATTATCCAGGCTTCCAAGTGTAGTTGTTGTGTGCAAGTTATCTCTGTTCATGTGGTGACTGTGATTTTTTTTTTTTTTTTTTCTGTGATGGCATGATTATGCTTAGTTCTTTGTCTGCTTGGCTTTTTGTGCTCTTGGCTGCATTCATTTAGATTTTGCTTTAAGACATTGGTATTACTTATAGTTTTTACACTTGGCTCCTGTGTGTCTCATACGTACCCATCCAACCGTGTCTGTGTTCCGTGCTTTTCTGTTTGTGAAGTGTGATATGTTATGTGTAATGTTTTTTTAACAATACAAAAGAGACTTTTTTAATTAAAAAAGCCTTCCTACTTACTCACTGCAAAACTATCAACATGCATGGTTTGACATTTGCATTACAATTAACATGGCTTGTCTTTTACTAGGGATGTACCACACGAGTGGACGTTCGCTTTCTTTAACCAGTACTTCCCATCAGTTCTTTGATGGCGTTAAACTTGATCTATTTTAATATTGCAGTTGATACAGATATTCAAAATGCACATAACTGAGCCACTCGTTTATGCATATAACATCCAGAGACTATGGACTTCAGCTGCCTGCACTGCCCTAACCATATGCTACATTTTTCACAAAGTGTTCTCTAACACGCTGCTGCCCTTGGAAGGTGTTGCCCCTGACACCTCTTTCCTTTTCTCCCCCCAGATCCGCGTCGTGAAGGCATTCCGTAGCTCTCTCTATGAAGGTTTAGAAAAACCAGAATCTAGAACCTCTATTCACAACTTTATGACTCATCCTGAATTTAGGATAGAAGATTCTCAGCCCCACATCCCACTCATTGATGACACAGACCTAGAAGAAGACCCTTCTCTCAAGAAAAACTCAAGTCCACCGTCTTCACTGAACAAGAACAACAGTGCTATCGACAGTGGAATAAATCTTACAACTGATACAAGTAAATCAGCTACCTCTTCTAGTCCAGGAAGCCCAATACATAGCCTGGAGACATCACTTTAGCTGAAAAGGTCACTGCAAAAAAAAAAAAAAATTAAAATAAATAAAATAATATAAAATAAAATAAAACCCACAGCAACCGAAATATATAAATATATATATTAAAAAACATTGCTGGCTGAAAAGCTGTTTGAACTCTTATTCACTCTGAGACAAGTGAATGAATTGTTGATCACAATGGTTTTGGGGAAAGAATGAATGGCTGATTTACATGCTCCCCTTGTTCCCTTTCA